CCGACTTGACATGGACGCCGGGTTGTCCTTGTCAAACAACATTGACGAGGCACCGACACCGCGCGCCGCCGCACCTTTGCCACTCCCCACGGACGCTGTCGTTGCGGAAGATGGTTCTACGACCGGCGTTGAAGCCACTTCGAGCGCGCCAGCATCCAACTTCAACTTGGACGCCGAGTTATCGTTGTCAGACGACAGCGACGACGAGCCTGCGACTGGTTCAAACGTACCAAGTGCTGCTGCTGCGTCGCCATCTGTTGCACGTGACAATGGCGGGCTCGAATCCAAATCGACTGGCGACCCTCGAGTATCGTCGGTGGGTGATATCAACTTGGGTGCAGAGCTGTCGCTTTCGGACGACAGCGACGTGACGCCGATCCCCAAGACATCGACGACAGGCGAGACGGTCGCCATACTTCCAACGGAGCGCGCGAATGTTTCGTCAGCAAGACCTGCAGTGGCCCTTACCGCATCAGCCAACGTGGACCTCGATTTGGCGTTGTCAGCCAGTGGCAGTGCTGCGAGATCGAGCACGGGAGCTGCCCTGTCGACGAGCTCGCCTTCGGCACGACAACGCGCGACGGACGTGATCGACAGTGATGCGACCTTGTCACTCTCCGAGAGCGTCGAAGCTGTTGTGTCGCAGCATCACGCACCCGCCGCGGTTAACCTCGACGCCGCGTTGTCCCTCTCCGACGACGGCGACACCGGATCTGCAAAGCCCACCGAAGAAGCCGTAACCGCGAACGACGAGCTCACAGTCTCGCGAGCCAGCGCCGACACCGTCGTTGGGGCAGCAGCGCCTCGGACAGTGGTCACTGGTGGTGAAATCATGGAGGCTACCTTGCCCATATCTCAGAGCAACGAGAAACGATCCCGACCCAACGGCTCGAGCTCCCCACGGCAAGGCCCATTGGCGTCTGGTCCGTTGCTACCAGCGCGAGCTGACGACAGCGTCAGTGCATCGACGCGCCGACCTCAATCGACACCTGTGCCGGCGCGGTCGTATGTCGCCGTCGACGCAACCGACTCACCGCCGGCGTCGCCACGGCGCACATCACCGTCGTCATCATCATCGTCGTCGTCGTCGTCCAGCTCATCGGACTCGGACGACATGCTAGCAGCGGATCTCGAGTTGGGCGTTGCAGCGCCGTCCACCACCGCAGCACCCGTCACGGGGCTGGATCCGCCCGCCGCTTTGGAGTCGGTCGAGTCGCAAGCAGGTGCTGCTGACCAGAGTGCGCCTGCCCCGCATGACAACGAAAACGCGTTTGAAAGCTCCGAGGGGAGTGCCGACATCTCGCTCTCGGAAGACGACTCGGCGTTTTCCGACGACGGCTACGAAAGCGACCGCCACTTGATCGAGCACGAGGACGCAGTGGATGCTCCGCAAGTGCACGCCCCGGACGTTGCACTGCTGGACGCTCCGATGTACTACTCATCCAGCACTGCCACCGAGTACTCGGACATTGAGGTGGCCGAGCCGGTCGTCGTCGAGCTACCTGCCTTTGCACCGCATGCCTCGTTCGAGCTACCGTCGCTGCCCGTTGTCGAGGAAGTGCCGCCCGTCGTCGAGGAAGTGCCGCCGGTAGAGCGCGCCGACGAAGGCACGTCGTTGTTTGTTCCGTACAGCGGTGTCGACCACACGGGTGCTCGAATTCCCGGGACACTGTCACCATCGTCATCAGAAGAAGACGACGACGACGAAGAGGATGAGGAAGATTACGACTTTGGCGGCGGTTTGTCCGGCGACGATGCGCCAAACGGTGCAGACCAGGCGCCCAACGTCGGCGTCGAGCAAGTGGCAGTCGGGTCAATGGTACCTACAGACACCGCAGCCGTCGCCGTGGCAAGCGACCCGCCGCCTCGCTCGCTTGACGTTGCAGAAGCGACGACCGCAACGCCGTCGACGCAGGTGCCTGAAACAAGTCCGCTGCCCGATCTCGAGTTTGTGATTCAAGTGCCGGCGCTTCCTCGGTTGTCACATCTTGCATCGCCGGTGATTGGCTACGGCGACGCAAGCGGTCAACCGCGCGACGGTTCGGATAGCAGTGACGACAGCAGTAGCAGCAGTGACGACAGCAGCAGCAGTGATGACAGCAGCTCCAGCTCAGCGTCAGTGGCGTCAGTGGCGTCTCGGCGGTCATATCTAAGCAGTACGGTTCATGCAAGAATGGTGTCGGAGCCCCAAGGACCGTCCATGCCACCGACAACCGTGGCAGCAGGTCGGGGTGGCGTCCCGATGCGTTCACCAGGCAGCGCATCCAATACCGCTGCATCGTCGGCCGTCAACTTGGACGCAAACCTGTCTCTGTCGGACGACTCGGACGACGACTTTGCCGCCGAGCTTGAGCGAGAGACGCTACCCGTGGCATCGTCGGAGCGACAGCAAGGGGTCGCCGGTAAAAGGAGCCGCGCAGTTGACGAAGCGAGCAGCTGTGCCCCCGCGCCGTCCAGCAAGCACGGCAAGGCAGCGGCAAGCACATTGAGTTTGAACGTGGACGCCAATCTCTCCTTATCCGACGACTCGGATGCGGACTTTGCTGCCGAGCTAGAGGCCGAGACTGCCGCAACGTCCTTGGCAAAGCCTACGCAGCGTGTTCCAGCGGCCACGTCATCGACCTTCAACTTGGACGCGGAGCTCTCGCTTTCGGACGACTCGGACTTTGTCGCGTCCCTCGAGCGTGGCAACGTCAAGAAGACACCCGCGCCGTTGACGGAAGCACCGTCAGGTTTGAATTTGGAGGCCAACCTCTCGCTCTCCGACGACTCGGGCGATGCGAAGGCGCCACCGGCAGCCGGCAACGTGGCATCAGTGGTGGAGAGCAGCGACTCGGACGCGTCGTTTCTCGCCGAGCTGCATCGAGACAGTCCGCCGCCGCCGCCGACCAAGCGAGGCCGGGGTCGCCCGCGAAAGCAGCCTGTCGCTGCGATGGGTGCTCCCGGGTGCAAGCGATCGCTCGCAGCAACGAGTCCAAGCACCGAAAAGCCCAAGCGCGGAAGAAAGCCGGGGAAAGCAAAGGCGCCTCCACGTCCGGCGCCGGGCGACGCCGCGCTTAACGAGGAGCTGAATCGAGAGCTCGTGGCAACGGCACCACGTATTTTGAGTGCCGGTTTGTCGGATACGCTGTCCGAGCTGGAGAAGGAGCTCGAGAGGGAGCTCATGTCGCTGCCGTCGCCTTTGGTTGCGCCACCGAAGGAGCGCCCACCCGTGGTCGACCGGCGCAGCACGCCCGTCGCCCGTGTATCGTCGACGGCAATGGATGACAGATTTGCACCCGTGAAAACAACGCCATGGAAGGTCTCAGGCGCGGCCCGGCCGCCGCGACTCGGTACGGCGGCACCTCAGCCGTTGACGACGCCGTCGACGTCGACCGAGACTGTGCAATCCGCTGCCGCGTCGACGCCAACGTCGCCGACGCTGACCGAGCGAGTAGCACCGCCTGTCGCGCCGACGTCAACACGGCCTCGCCCATTTGCAACGCCGATGGCGTCGACCCCGAGAGCTCCTGCGCTGCAAGTTCCATTGGATGCCACGGTGCCGCGTCCTGTGCCGGTGGATACGTCGCAGCAGCGCGCCAGTCAACCACGGAGTCCTGCCGCCCGATCGCCGAGTAGCCAACGACAATTGCCGGCCGTGCCTCTACCTGCCGCATCTGTACCTCGACTCGGACCCTCGCAACCACTGCCAGGCCCACCTCGACTAGGACCTTTGAAAGCGCTTCCGGGACCACCTCGACTGGGCGGCGTGGGTCCGCCACAAACCGCTGCTTTGCGACCAGCCCCCGCCCCTAAAGCACCCGCGCCAGTGGTATCTCGACCGAAGACTCCATTATTCGATCGCAGCTCGGCTCAGAAGGCCGCGGCGCAACCGATGTCGCAGCGAGCACTGTCGGAGCCTGCAACCGCACCGGTTGTGCGACAGCCAATTGCGTCGTCGGTTGCCAGAGCAACGCCTCGCCCGGCCCCACCTCTTGCAACTGTCCCGTCGTTTGTACAAGCCATCAAGAACATGGGTGCGACGGCGTCACCGGTGGCCGCGTCGGCTGGAGGAGATACGTCCGATTCGGATGGCCTCGATGCACTCGACGCCGAACTTGACGTCATCAAACCCGCGCCTGCAAAACGGAAAGCACCGACACCGGCGCCGACGCGTGTCGTCAAGCCACGACCAACGCCGACGGTGACGCGGACTGTCCCTGCCGCTGCACCACGGACTGTTGTCGCTGTAACGTTGCCACACCGTGTCGACGGTAGTGACGATGACTCGGACGGTTTGGACGCTCTCGAAGCCGAGCTTGGATTGGCGCAGTCGACGCCGGTGCTGCCACCGCCCAAAGCACGAGCAGCACCAAAGGCCCGAGCAGCGTTAAAAGACCCCAAGCCTCGAAAGGCGTCTATTCCCAAGGCTCCTGTGCAGCGCAAGCCTCGTGCGCCGGTCCAGGCCGTCGTTTCGGACGACTCTGATGGACTCGGTGCTCTGGAGGCAGAGCTCGGCATCTCGTCAGCCACGGCAAAACCCGCACGCAGCGTTAAGAGTGTGCCGGCCAAGGCGGCACCGCGACGAACGCCAGCGCCTCGAAAGCCAGTTGCAGTACAGCCGTCGGCGGTCGCATCCGACTCGGATGGTCTTGGCGACCTCGAAGCCGAGCTCGGGATCGCGCCGACGATAGTCTTGCCGAAGAAGCGTGGTCGACCACCCAAGGCCAAGCCAGCTCCTTTGGCCGCCAGTACCGTGGGCGCAATAACGCAGGCCAACCTCAATGCACCAAAGAAGCGAGGACGTCCGCCAAAGCCAAAGCCTCTCGCGACATCCATGATGCCGACTCTAGTCGCGCTGCCCACGAAGCGCCTACCCACAGCCAAAGCAGCGCCACGAGCGGATGTCTCGGACGACGATGGCCTTGATGCGCTCGAAGCTGAGCTCGGTCTTTCGTTTTTGGCGCCCCACGGAACGGCAGCGCCCGTGGCAACGCGCGTCGTTGCCCGAGCTCCAATCAAGCGCCCACCCAAAAGCACGCCGTCCATTCTGGTACGCGGCGAAGGGCGCGCAGCTTTTGACGCTGAGCTTGAGACGACGTCGCGGAAGCGAAAGCTACCGACACCAGCCGCCGCGCGAAGCGTCAAGCCAAAGGCAGCTCCAGCATCAACGCCCAGGACGGTAGCTCCAGCGCCCAAGACGCCAGCACCAACAGCCGTCGACTCGGACGACAGTGGTCTCGATGCGCTCGACGCCGAACTCAATTTGTAGTTGTAACACTTGAACATGACAAAATTTTGCGATCTTCCGAGGCGCGCACCGATTGGCTGAAATACCATAAAATACGTGTCGCGGATTGGCTGCCTATAACATACTTGCAACAGGCGACGATGGCGCTCGTCCGGCGGCCGAGCATGCTGACGATGCGGTCGGGCGCCGCGACCAACATCCTCATCGAAGTACGCTCCTGCGTCATATCCGCCGGCCTCTCGAGCGTGCGCTAGGTCAAGCAGAAGACCCGGCGGTCCCTTGATGCGCTCGAGCGCCAGTATGGCGAGTGTATGCCTCTCTAGTCGTCTTGGTCGATGGCTCACGTCGCGTCCTAGTCGACATTCACATTGCGGACCAGCTCGGCCAGCTCTCGCTGTACTGCATCATGGGCGGCGAGTACGACGAGGCGCTGCCGCTGCTCCACCGCAAGCTCGTGATCCACGAGAAATTTGGACCTGGTACGATGATGATGATGCTTGGCCATGGCCTCACGATGCAGCGTAGACGAGAGCATTGGCGACACGTACCAGCAGCTCGGCACGACCTACCGCCTGTACGCCAACTACCTCTTGGCGGCGCAGCATTTTGAGAAGGCGCGGAGCCACCGCGAGCGGCTGCATGGGAAAAACAGCGCCAAAGTGGCCGAGACGTTGAGCAGCCTCGCGGTTCTGCACCATTGGTACACATATGATGGCTGTGATTGCAGTACTGATTGCTTGCAAGAATAGCCAGGGGAACACGGCCGTCGCAGAGGATTTTCACACGCAGAGCCTGGTCGCATTTTACGAGAGCACGGAAGAAGAGGACGTCGAGAGCGAGGAAATCCCATGGGAAGTGTTCAAGCGGCTCCGGCAGCAGCAGACCCACCCGCCGTCGACGGCTCAAAACAGCATGACGCTGCTGAAAGGCACGATTCGCAAGACGATCCAGGCGGCCGTGCTTCAGGATACAGCGGCGCCGCCAGTGTCGTCGACCTCGATCGCGAGTGCCGACGAATTCGAGCCGCCAAAGCTGCGCATGCGGTCGCTCTCGGACGGCGCGCTGCCGCTGCACACACCACCCACCTCGTCCAACGGTGTGTCGGATCGACCCAAGGTCGCCCAGCTGCTCAAGAAGCAGCTCTCGACGTCGTCCGATAGCACGATTGTGCCCGACTCGCCGATGGAGACGAGCCAAGGCCACTTTCCAGAGGCAACCCACGAGCCGATCACGAGCTTTCCCGTGCTTGTCGAGCGTGTCGACATGGTCAAGCGCAAGCACGCGTCCGGGCTCGGCTTTCCGGGCATTGAGAAGGAGATGAACCGCCTCGCCTGTGACATTGGGCTCATCGCCGCCGGCGATCTTCGCCAAGTGGGCTTGCTCATGCTCGGGCTGCTTCAAGACGCGGTCAAGCTCAGCAGTCAACTCGACCAGAAAAAGGTAGTCGCTGCCTCCATGTGATGTCAACGGCGTTGGCAGCAAGCTATGTAGCTCCCGGTGCTGGAAGGGTATCTGGAGAAGAAGAGCTCGTCGATCTTTCGCGGCTGGGAGCGTCGGTGGTTTAAAGTCGATACGCGGACGCTCGTCCTGACCTACTTTCACTCGAAAGAAGATCAAATGCGCGGGTTTGCGCCGCGCGGCAGCTTTGCACTCTCGCGGATCACGCACCTCGTGACCCACGCCCACCTCCGGTTTAGCTTCTTGTTCCGAAAGGGACTGACAGAATGGGTGGCGTAGGGGCAATCGGTATGCGTTTGATATTGTCGTCGACCTCGGAACGCGCGCCAACCCGCATGCGACGCGGACCTTTGAGCTCCGTTGCGAGTCGGAAGCCGACCTCAAGTACTGGGTCGACACGATTGAAAAGTACCAAGCGTTCAGTCGACGCACGTCCAGCAATGCCGCCGCGCTTCCGCCGTCGCCACAGACGTCGCCTCCAACGTCCCAGAATTGATCGTTCGACGACCGCATCGCCGAGTATTCTAATGGGAGCTCTACTTTCACCGTTTTGTTGAATAAGAAAAAAGCAGTAGGTAGTTGGCGGAATGCCGCCGCACATCCAGTCGCCACGAACGACCGCGGATCTCCTTCGCCGTCGTCAACGTCTAACGACAGCGGATCTTCTTCGCCGTCGTCAACGTCTTTTCGCGCCTTAAAATTGATGATTGGCCAACCGGCGAACAAGGATCTGCCTTTAGAGTGTGAGATGGCATTAGGAAGCTGCATAAAGCGGAGCACTGAAGCATGGTGCCTGAGTCAAATGCAACTCATGCAAGCGTAGTGCAAGGATAGAGGATGAAGCGTTTGACGCTGGGAAACGACCACCAGAATGTGCGCATCTGGATCTGGATCTCGTGTTCTGGAGGACGAGATTGGAGCCAGTTGGGACAGTCGAGATTGGAGCCAGTCGGGACAGGGTAGTGATGTCGTACACCTACCCCTCACAAACAGATGGGAGAACGCCATATCCAGATATTAGTGATCCAGACGATACCAACTTCTTTTACATGCAAGGAGACGGGAATGCTTCGACTCATTTTTCATTTTGCTCGATGGTGGCCATCTACCTCCCCAGCATTTTTGCACTTGCGGCCGTCGCACTCGCTGCTCAAGAGGCGCCGGCCGACGCCATGACCTTCAAGAGACCCGACGACTGCGATGACAACCGTGGTGGCGGCTGGAACTCGGGTGGCGGCGGCAAATGGAACGGTGGCGGCGGCTGGAACTCGGGTGGCGGCGGCAAATGGAACGGCGGCGGCGGCTGGAACAACGGTGGCGGTGGCGGCTGGAACAAC